TATGCCACCATGATGGTCGAATCCCAGCATAGGGTACTAAACCTTAAGCCAAATTGATAAAAATCTAGCCTGTCAATCTAAAACTAGCCAGTTCTATGCCTATCAAAACTTATCTTCCTATTTATTTTCACTTCCCCTTAGGTGATCGCAATGACTCTGCCTAGAATGAAGTGTGGTATCCACTAGTTATGTGAAATCATAGCTCTCCCAGGTCATTATATTTCTCAACAGATTTTAACCTCACAAGTGGCCAGTTTGTAAAGCAAATAAATGTTTGGTGAAAATACCATCACAATTTTTAAGAGTAAAAAATAAATATTTAAATCATTCTCATCACATAAGATTAAGTCACATATGCAAAAAGAAAGAAAGAGAACTACTCAGAATTCATGGAGATTAAACAAAAACAAAATATTCATTGAAATTCAAGTCTTACAACAAAGACTCGAACACAAATACAAAGTATTTATGTCTTCTCCCCAAGTAAACTTGTAGAGTTTCCTTTAAGCAATCTACAAACTTCTTCACAGTAAAACACACTCACACTTACACTTGAACACAAAATATGACAAACTTAACTTACTATTGCTGGCCATTGAAGTTTTTAGGCTCCAAAAGGTCTCTAAATTTTGCTAAATCCTTCTCATTAAAGAGAAAACAGAAAATAAACAAAGGTTATTTCAAACACCCCTCTAAAATTCAGCCAAATTCAATGTATCTTCAAGTAAAACAGTTAATAGAGCTATAACGCCAGTTTGGGGTGCTATAGATCCCATCTTCGCTCGTCTATGGTGCTATGACGCCAAGGGGTGGCGTTATAGCTCCACACGAATATCTTCAATTTCGCTCCGTTTTTTCCTCATTTTCTCTAAATGTTCACTCCATGTACCTGAAACTGAAAACATGCAAAATACATTTCTTTTAAAGTGCAATATCATTAAAAATGTACATAAAAGGCTTATAAAATATGCACTAAAAATAGATTATTTTTAGGTGGATTAATTCCCCCATATTTAAATATTAATTATCCTCAAGTAACTCTATATACTATATATATAATTAATAACATGTGGTAGCAAATTTAACTTAAAGACTCCTATAATTTCTGTTTTATAAACGTTATAGTGAAACTTTCAGAAAAATTTTTAAATAACTCAGGTTAAAAACTAAAATACAAGATTATGTAGCAGTCAAGTCTAAAAGTTCTGATTTTCTATTTATTTAAAAAATAATTGTAATTTATCATACTTAAGATACTCAAAATAATACCAGAAAAAGACATTCATGAGAACTTTATTAGTAAATGCGCTAATACTTCTAAGCCTAAGTTAGAAATGTAACTAAGTTTCTTTCCTTAAGTTAGCCAATTTTTTATTAGCATCTCCTCAAGCTTCTTCTCACATATTTTCTCTTTTTGCTTTTCGTTTTGTTTTTTTTCAAGGATCATTTTCAATCCTTTCATTTTTTTCTTTTTTTTTATATGTCATGTGGGGATTACTATATCTAGCTAGCCTTTAATGATTTTGAACTTCACTATCTTCCTCTTAAAGTTAAAAACACCTCACATTTCTTTACTTTAACAAATGTCTATTAGCTTTGAAGATTTTTCATAAAGTCTCAATTTTTTTCTTTTCAAGTATAAATCTAAGATCCTTAATATTTCTAAAAATATGGTTTTCTTTACTTTAAAAAGCAAAAGCATAACTCCAAACCCTTTATACTAAATATCTTAATTCTAGAATTAACCTTCACTATTAAAAACTTTTACTTAGGTTTTCTACAACTTTCACAAAACCAAAATTATAATTTTCTAAAGTTAACTCTACATACTACAGGTTATGTTAAAAATAATTTTGTTAAATACTATTCCCTGAGGAAAAATAAAGTTTAGTTTAAAAAAAATTCTCCCTTCCCCCAAACTTAAATTTTTAAACTAATTTAAAGTAGGAAATTTCATGAAGAAAGAATTTTTTTTTAATTTAAAACTCAAAAATTAATGCAGGTACAAGTAGAAATGACAAGAACTGAGTAGTAATAAACATAAGATTAACATGCATAACAATAAAAAACATAAAATAAACACTACTCTAGCATTTAAATTGGAGCAGAAAAGCAATAAGACTAACTATTTAATAGAAAAAATAAAAAAAAACCTAAATATAAGCACATTACAACATAAATACAACAAATTATGAACAAAATAAAGTTTAAATATTCAAACACTCCAAAGAAAAGAAAGAAAACAACACACTAAACATCAACATCTTCCTCATCACCACCATCATCATCATCGTCATCATCTAAATCTATATCCTCTTCCATCTCAGAAGGCTGATATGGTGTAAAAGTGGGGTGAGGAGGAAATTCCACAGAATGATCACCCCCCATATATCTTCTCATAGCCTAATTATAGGCAAAATGTTACTCAACTTTCCTCAACATAATATCATCACTATCGTACAAGTGAGATTTAAGGCCTTTTATCTGATTATGTAAAGTTATAAGATCTCCTTGTTGAATTTGTTGAAGATCTCCTTGTTGAATCATCATTTGTTCCATAAGAGAATACAGAGAAATAAAATCAGAAGCAGATGGTCTAGGAGTAGGAGTAGGAGTAGAAGTAGAAGGTATGTTAACTCCAGTCCTAGGTCCAGTCCTAAAATGTCTCTAATATTTTTTTCAAATTTGTTTTGCCAATGGGTTTATGCGATGACAAAGTTTCATCCCAAGTCCCATACTTCACTATAGATCAATACACAAAGTAGTAATAAGAGCAGGGTAGCCCAAACCTCCTGTATTTCCTCCTCTCGAGGAAACAAGCATGTTTGTATGAAAAGAGAGCCAATGTCAATTGGTTTATTCATCTGAATATAGTATTTTAAAGTGGTTCTCTCACAAGTTACCCACTGAATCAGTTGGTAGGAAGTAATCTACCATATATGAAATAGAGTCATGCTCAAGAATGAACATTAAGTTTTGAGAAATAAAAGTTCATCCTACGTCCCTTTTTAATCTTCCAAACTCCATTTCCATCAGTTAAAAATCCGATATTCTTATCCAATTTTTCATCAGTAGGATGAAATTTAGAAAAGAAGCAGGTAGGAACACTATGCAGTTGGTATATGTGGTTAATGCAAATTGAACTGATATCCACATATTGCTCTCGTACATAGACCAAATCAACTGATTCATCTGATAGGTTAGCATAAAATTCTCGAGCAACTAAAATTACAGATACGACAGTGAAATAACAAAATTTCTCTCACTCTCGCTCCACAATCAAGTACTCAATCCACCAGGATGTAGATAAATGTGTTTTGCAATCAGTTTCTTTGATTGCATATCAACATACCTGTCCTGTGCTCTTGCACTGACAAACTTATTAGAATTAAAAGTTGCTTTTTCCTTGCCTCTCTTCATTTTATGAGCCATGATTATTCTAAAAATTTTCAAGATAAATTCTAAAAATCACAAACTCAACTTCAAAAGGCTCCTAAAAACACAATCTAAACCTAGTAGGGCTTAGGTTGTGCTCTGTATAAGTTGGGGTTAGGTGTAGGATGGTTTAGATTGAACTAGGTCTAAGTAAGGTTAGACCTAGAAAGGTTTAGATAGTGCAAGGTTTAAGTTGAGTTAAACCTATGATGGGTTCTTGGCTTGAGTTAAGTTGAGCTAGATCCAAGGGGGCCAAGACCTACCTACCTTGGTTTAACTTGGGCTTGACTAGGTCTGACTTGGGTCAGTCCTAAGTTAACCATAGTTGAAATGAACTAAGTTCATTTGGGTTAGGTCTTCTCAGGGTTAGGCCTAGACCCAAAATTGATCGGGTTAAGTCCGATTTGGGCAAGACTTATGCTTACCATGGGTGATCTTATAATTAGAGCGGATAATTATGATATCACCCCTGAAGGTTTCATTAGGTTAGGGCGCCTAGGCTAATTTTCAAATTTGAGAGAACAACTTGTCTAAAATGTAAAATTTTAAATCTTACATATTTACCCCTAAATTTCTAAATTTGCTTTTAAGTTTTCAAAGGTCAAAATTGTCTTGGGGTTTAAAGTTACTGCCTAAATTTTATTTTTATATTCCATTTTAATCTTCATGTTTTCTTATTTTTATTTCATTTCTTATAATTATTTTTCAAAATAATTATAGTTTTAGTAAAAAATTAGTCATTTTAATGTTAGAGAGGTTCCTTGACTTTGGAAAATTTTGAGGATATGTCCATGGGTAAAGGGAAGAATCCCTGTAAATTTTATATTTAATTAAATAAAACTTAATTATAAGTTAATTATTTTTATTTTTATTTTCATTATTTTCTTCTCTGTCTGCTGAATCCATAAGTATATTTATTTTATTTTTGACATTTTTATTTAAGGAGAAATGCATTTTTTAAGTTTTATTTGATTTTATGGTATTAATTAATTTCGAACCTGAATACCTTACCCCCTTAAGTTTTATTTGATTTTTTTGTTTTAATTAATTTCGAACCCGAATCCCTTCCCCCCCCCCCACACTCTATTCTGATTTAAAGAAAACAGGGAGAAAATCGGAATTAAACATTTGAGCTCGCCTCCTCTGCCTCTATCATCTACCCGAACACATATTGTTACAACATGCGGTTGACAATAATCGAATTAGAGTCCTCGTGGTTAGAAAGTTGAAACATTTTTATCTCCTTAGTCTCATTTAGTACCTGATGCGACACTCTCTTCTTCATCTTTGCGGGCGGCCTTACTAGCACGTAAGAAATTATTATGTCTACACTTGTCACTTTATTTATCTGAATGCGTGCTATATTTTTGTATTATGCTAAAACTCTAGGTAATCACTCTGAATCTTTTGCAATGAATCTTATAAAACACATCAACGATAAATTCTTATACACTAGTGATAAGACCATTTAAATTAACTTAATAGGGTTGATAATTTTAAAGTACCTTTAAATTTGATAAGAAATGTTCATGCATAAAGTAAAAGAATTTTAAATGCTGTTGCACCAAGTCTTTCAAATATAAGATGTTTTACACGTATACATACAAAGAGTTGACAGTTACAGTACACTGCGCTCTGTTTCCGCCCCCATGGCCGAATCCTTCGCCTCTGTTTTGCAGCATTCAGCAATGTATATCTCGTTAATCTTTTATCAAACATCTCTCTCTCTCTCTATCTCTGTAGATCAGTCTCCAATGTAGAAAGGCTCAGAGATCAATGAGTGAGGAAGAAAGGCTGTCAAGAAGGAATACATTGTGGAGCCCCGAGGAGGATGAAGTCCTCCGCAAGCACGTAGCAGAGCATGGAGAATACGATTGGGGCAACGCGGAGGAGCTTTTTAAACGTCCCAGAAAAGCCTGCTATGCACGGTGGAGGTATGGTCTCCGGACTACAGTCACCCAACACCCTTTAACCGATGAGGAGAAAACCATATTATGGCAGCTTTACGAGATGCTCGGTGCCAATTGGGCTGCTATAAGAAGACGTGTGAGTCTTTTGTTTTTTTTAATTTGGAACAAATTGTGTCTCTGTTTTTTGGGTTTTGCTTCTTTTCAACCAATTTATTACTGTGATGATTGATTGATTGATTGATTGATTGTAGACTAAGGGTGATAATCGCTTTTCTGTACCGAGAACGGAGTTTGACATTAGGAACTATATCTATCAAGTAGAATTAGAGAAGGCGAGGGAACATGGTTTTATTCCAGATGATGTTAATGTTAACGGTCAGCTCATTCCTATGTTTTTTTTAAAGTTCTTTTCTTCCTGATGTTCTATATCTCTCTCTCTCAAGCATATATTTTTTTCTTTTTTGACATGTAGATGGCAACCTAGAAGCTCCAGGGCAGGATATTGATCGACATAATGAACAGGGCAGCAGTCATGGCAACCAATCTTTGGATCTCTCATTATCCCTTCGTGTTTCTCCTTCAGCGGCAGGGAACTTTGATATTAATGCTCCGGCGCCCTCAAATGACGCCCAGGATTGATTATCACTCTCATGGCTTTCTTCTTCTTATTATATATATTGTGATTGGTCTAAAATATAGCAATTTAATTGTTTTGCTTTAAATTTTAACTTTTTTTTAAAAAAGAAAAATTTTATTGGGACAAGGTGGCCACTCAAACATGATACCTTGAATCTCTTCATTTTATTTCTAATTGAGTTGTTCTATTTGTTAAAAGTTCTCTATTTATGTTATTTGTAATTTTTTTTTTTTCATTTCTTTTCTCTTCACATAGAATGCATATACTTATTCTTTGAGATAAGATAAAATATGTTGGCCTAATTAGAATATACTGATTGTCATGGCTACTTCAAGAACTCCCCTAAATACCTAGTTTTGGTCTACATTAAGCCAAAGAGAGTGATTGGGATGTTTTTTTAATTCAATTTGGCTAATTGTCAAGTTGGTTTGAGTCCGCCCATATCAAGTTGGGTTAGCCCAAGGAGAGTTTAGATTTGATTTAGTTTCACTCGAGTTGAGTCAATTTAGTTGGGGATGTTTTTTTTGAATTGGTTTGGGTTAAACTCGGGTTAAGTCAGGCTACCTGATTTGTTCGTGTTGATTTGGGTAAACTGAGTTTGGTCGAGTTAGCACAAACAGTTCAAGTTGATTTAGGTTAACCCTACTTATGTCGGGTAGGCTCAGATTATTTAAATTGATTTGGGTTAATCCGTGTTAGGTCACGTTAGGCCTCATGGTTCAAGCTGATTTGGGTTAACCCTAATTAGTTATGGTTAACTCGGATTGTTTAAATGGATTTGAGTTGAGCCGAGTTAGGTCAGGTTAGTCGGATGGTTCAAGTTGATTTGAGTTAACTCGAGTTAGGTTGGGTTAAACTAGTTTGTTTAAATTCATTTTGGTTAACTTGGTTGGTTCAAGTAATTTTTGGTTAACTAATTAGGTCGGGTTGGCCTTGATTGTTTGTGCTGATTTGGGTTAACTCGAGTTATGTCGGGTTAGTTCAGATTGTTAAAGTTGATTCAAGTTAGGTCAGGTTGTCCCAGATTGCTCAAATTGATTTGGGTTAATCCGAGTTAGGTCGAGTTAGCCAGATTTTTTATATTGATTTGGGTTAACCTGACTTAGGTCGGGTTAGTCTGGATAATTTAAATTGATTTTAGTTAACCCAAGTTTGGTTTAAGTTGGGTTAAACCTATAATGGTTTGGATTATGCTAGGTCTAAGTTGAGTTTAGACCTAGGATGGTTTAGATTGTGGCAGGTCTAAGTTTGGGTTAGACCTAGTAAGGCTTAGATTATGTAAATTCTAAGTTGGGGTTAGACCTAGTAAGGCTTAGATTATGTTAATTCTAAGTTGGGGTTAGACCTAGAATGGGTTAGGTTGAACTAGGTCTAAGTTAGGTGAAATCTAGTAAGGTTTAGATTGTGCAAGGTCTATGTTGAGTTAGACATATGATGAGTTCTTTTCTTGAGTTAAGTTGAGTTAAATCCAAGTAGGGCTAGACCTATACCTAACCTTGGTTTAACTTGGGTCAAAATAGGTTTGACTTGGGTCAATCTAAGTTAACCTTAGTTGAAACGAACTAAGTTCATTAGTGTCAGGTCTGATCAGGGATAGGCCTAGACCCAAAATTGATCGGGTTAAGCCTAATTTAGGCTAGACTTAGACATTGTTTGGGGCAGCGGTGACTTGTTGAGTAATCTGCTGATAAACTGATTAAAAATAATTTGCCGATAAGCTAGGTGTGGTTGATGTTACAGTTTTTTATTTTCTTGGAAAAAACATACTGCAACCAGAAAGCTGCCACCACACCTAGATAGATGCGGTGTGAAAACACTGTTTTCAGTGTTTTGAACATGCATAAGCTGGCAAAAAGTAATTTACTCAAACAGGCCAAGTGTGTTTTCAGAACGTCACTGCACCAAGTAAGCTACCCCAAACGGGTCATTAGGCTTACCATGGCTGATCTCATAATTAGAGCGGATAATTATGATAACAACCCCGAAGGTTTCATTAGGTTAGGGCACCTAGGCTAATTTTCAAATTTGAAGGAACAACTTGGGCTAAAATGCAAAATTTTAAAATTTACATATTTTCCCATAAATTTCTAAATTTGATTTTACGTTTTGAAATGTTAAAATTATCTTGGGGTTTAGAGTTACTGCCCTAAATTTTCTTTTTAATTTCAATTTCAATTTACATTTTATCTTTTTTTAGTTCATTTCATATTATTTTTTTTCAAAATAAATATAGTTTTAATAGAAAAATTTTAATGTCAGAGAGGTTCAAATGTTAGAGAGGTTCCTTGACTTTGGAAAATTTTGAGAATATTTCCAAGGGTAGAGGGAAGCATCCCTGAAAATTTTATATTTTTCTTCCTTTTATGTAACTTTTAATATTAAAAATATTCTATGGAGTGTTTAATTAATTAAATATTAATCATTATTTAATTATGAGTTAATTATCTTTATTTTTATTTTCACTATTTTCTTCTTTGTCTCATGAATCTAGAAGTATTTTTATTTTATTTTTTTTATTTTTATTTAAGAAGAAATGCATTTTTAAAGTTTTATTTGATTTTATGGAGTTAATTAATTCTGAAAACCTGAATTCTTACTTCTCTCTCTCTCTCTCCCCCCTCCCCCCCCTCCCCTACACACTATTCTTTGAGATGTGATGTATAAGAAATTGGTCGCATACTCTGCCTTTGTTGACCACTCGAACACATCGTGTTGCATCATTCGGTTGACAGTCATCAGATTGGATTTCTCGTGGATAGAAAGTTGGCACTTTCTGTCTCCTTAGCCCCCTTAAGTACCTGATCCAACACTCTTCTTCAACTTGGAGGGTGGGCTTCCTAGTGTGTAAAAGTTTATTGTGTCTCCACTTATCACATTATTTATCTGAATGTGTGTTTGATATATGTATTATGCTAAAACTCTAAATAATCACTAAATCTTTCGCAACAAATCTTATGAAATACATCAAAGATAAAATCACATACACTAATGATAAGATCATTTAAATAAACTTTTATAGTGCTCATAATTTTAATGTTAATAAAATTTTCATATTAATATTTACATTTTTAAATTCTCCAAGAAATTATAATAGCAAATGACGTCTCATCACTTCATAGTGATGAAGTAGTTTATTGATAAAAGATTATGCTAATTTTGATGATACAATACACATATTAAAAAAACTATCTTATATTCTTAATAATATATAATGGATGTTTTCTATTGAACTTTCTTAATCCCTATCTCATATTTTTAATTATTTTATTTTAAAATATAAAAAATAATAGATGTATATATGTATATATATATATAGCTTACGTACATATGAAGTCCATATACAATATTATAGATACAGTCACAGATAATAATGTGTTGTACACGTATGCATGCAAACAGCGTACCTGATAATTTTTCCTCCCTTAAGGTGACAGTTACAGTACACTGCGCTCTCTTTCCGCCCCTTCGCCCGAATCCTTGGCCTCTGCTTTGCAGCAATCAACATTCTATATCTCGTTAATCTTTTTATCAAACATCTCTCTCTCGCTAGATCAGTCTCCGATGTAGAAAGGCTCTGAGATCAATGAGTGAGAGAGAAAGGTTGTCAAGAAGGCGCAGACGGTGGAGCTCCGAGGAGGATGAAGCCCTCCGCAAGTACGTAGCAGAGCATGGAGAGTACGACTGGGGCAACGCGGAGGAGCTTTTTAAACGTCGCAGAAGCGCCTGCTATGCGCGGTGGAGGTATGGTCTCCGGTCTACAGTCGCCCAACGCCCTTTAACCGATGAGGAGAAAACCATATTATGGCAGCTTTACGAAAAGTTGGGTGCCAGTTGGAATGCTATAAGAAGACGAGTGAGTATTTTATTTTTTTTAATTTGAAACAAACATTACCTACCATTTATCATCTAATATGTCTCTGTTTTTTGGTTTAGGGTTTGCTTTCAACTAATTTATTATTTTGATGATTGATTGATTGATTGATTGTAGACTCAGAGTGATTATCGCTTTCCTTCAGCGAGGACGGAGTTAGATATAAAGAATTATATCGAGCAAGTATTATTAGAGCGAGCGCAGGACCCAGATCGTAATCAAAATGATGTTAATGATAATGGTGAGCTCATTTCTATCTTTTGTTAGTATGTTCTTTATCTCTCTCTCGTGCATAATTTTTTTTCTTTTGAAATGTAGAGGGCAACCTAGAAGCTCCAGGGGAGGATATTGATCGAAATAATGAAGAGGCCGGTAGTCATGCCAACTAATCTTTGGATCTCTCATCATCCCTTCGTGTTTCTCCTTCCATGGCAAGGGACTTTGATATTAATGTGCGCCCACAAATGACCCCCCGAATTCATTAACACTCTCATCCTTTCTTCTTCTTATTCCATATATATATATATATATGTATATATATATATATATATATATTGTAATTAATAAAAATATAGTAATATAATTTTTTGTTTTTAATTTTAACTTTTTTTTTTTAATTTATTGGGGCAAAGTGACCACTAAAATATGACACCTTAAATCTCTTCATTTTATTTCTTATTAATATACTTACACAAGAGAGCATTGAGTTGTTTTATTTGTTAAAAGTTTTTCTTTTTTGGTTCTTTGTAGCTTTTCTTTTTTTTTTAATTTCATTTATCTTCACATAGAATGCATGTACTTTTTGTTTGGGACAAGATAAAATATCTTGGCCTAATTAGAATATACAAGTGTCATGGCTACTTCCAAAGCCCCCCTACATACCATGTTTAAGTCTACAATAAGCCATACGGAGTTATTGGGATTCAATTGGGAAAATCAGTAAGGCTGAAATATGTGGGGAGGACACGGAATAGATCCATTTAGAAAGCCGCCAAATCCACTCGGTTTGAAAAGCTCAAGAACTTGGGATCTCCTTGTGAAATGATTTTTGAAAGTAAATTGGATGTTGATGGGCGCCTTTATGCTATTCATGATAAACTTGAGTTGTGTGGAATCAAAATATCTCCATATTTGAGTGGATTGAAGATAGAATCTAGAGGGAACTGATTTGTTGAGCTTTATTATATCTTGAGGATCAGACTTGCTAGTTCTATTAGGTGACTCGATCTGTAGTTACGCAGTTATTTTATTTTTGTCATTTTTTATTTAAGGAGAAATGCATTTTTAAAGTTTTATTTGATTTTATGGATTTAATTAATTCTGAAAACCTGAATTTCTATCTAAAACAACCTAGCACTATAGCACTTAGAATAACCTTAGGCCCACTTTTGGTGAGATGCGCACTATTTTCATGATCTTGCTTCTCTCTGTTCTCGTCATGGTGATCTCAGCTTTGGTGGAGACGAAAAGGCTTGAAACCGCAAGAGAATTCGGCCTTTTGGACGAGCTTCCCATGAGCATATTGTGGCTGTTTCCTCAGTACATTTTGTTGGGTGTTTCGGCAGTGTTCGCCACAGTTGGGCTGCAGGAGTTCTTTTATGATCAGGTGCCGGATTCATGGCGGAGCTTCGGGATTGCGCTCTGTCTCAGCATATTTGGGATGGGGAATCTGATTAACAGCTTTCTGGTTTATGGGACGGATAAGGTGACGAGAAGGATTGGAGGGGAGAGCTGGTTTTGAATTTGTGCTCTATCTGCCATCACGATAGTTCGTCTGCTTCTGATGTTTGCTATCCACTATGCAGTGAAAGCTTCTATGTATAATAGTTTGACTTTACTCTATGAAGTTCTCTCCATTTATGCTTGCTCTGCTTCTGAGCTAGGTGATAACTCATTAGATAGTTTGAAGTTACTATCTAAGAGAGTGCTAACTGGTTTCGCCTCGCTCATGTTGAACTATTATACATAGAAGCTTGCACTATTTTCCACTGACATGAACCAGTGTCATAGAGTGACAAACTACTCATAGATATTCTAAATGAGTTGCTAAATGAGCCGAACACGAGCTATTCGCGAACAACAAGCCATTTTGACAACCCTCAGTCTTATTATAAGATAAGATCAACTATTAACTTTAATCTATTTAACAAACGAGCAACCCAAAGGAACCGAGTGACAAACAGATTATTCATAAGATAAGTTTTCAGTATTAAATATTGCTCTCGTGATGTGATTTACAGAACCCCCCCCCCTCTACTCGATTCTTTGAGATGTGATTGACAGAAAACTTGGAGAAAATCAGTATTAAATATCAGAGATCGTCAGCTCTGCCTCTGTCATCCATTCTAACACATCGTGTTGCAGCATCCGGTTGACAGTCATCATAATAGATTTCTGGTGGATAGAAAGTTGACACTTCTTTATCTCCTTACCCCCCTTCATTACCTGATCCAACACTCTTCTTCAACTTCGCGGGCGGGCTTCCTAGCGCGTAAAAATTTATTATGTCTCTACTTGTCACTTTATTTATCTAAATGTGTGCTAGATTTTTGTATTATGCTAAAATTCTAAGTAATCACTCTAAATCTGTTGCAACAAATCTTCTGAAACACATGAAAGATAAAATCATATACACTAATGATAAGATCATTTAAATAAACTTTTATAGTGCTCATAATTTTAAAGTACCGTTAAGTTTGACAAGAAACGTTTATACATAAAGTAAGGGAATTTTAAATGCTGTTGCATTAAGTCTCAAATTTAGGTAGCTTTTAAATTAGTTAATTATCGTTACGATAAGAAACAACTATATTATTTCATCTTTTATAAAAAATAATTTTTTCATATTAATTTTTGCATTTTTAAATTCTCCAAGAAATTAAGATGGCAAGTGTACGTCTCATAACTTCATAGTGATGAAATAGTTTATTGATAAATGATTATGCTAATTTCCTCATCGTATATAAACATATTTATTATCGATGATACAATACACATATTAACAAAACCATCTCATATTCTTAAAAATATAAGACACATGTTTAATATTGAATTTTTTTATTCCCTAGCGGATTGGTTGGCTAAACATGGGTACAATGACATTTATATCAAGCAAACCCCCCTTCCCCCTTCTCCAATTTGATTCATGGTGATATTATTGATATCCCCTATTTACGTGCTTGAGGTTGCTGTACTGCAGGATTTTGATGGCTTGTTTTATCCCATTCTCATTTTGATATTTCCTTTTTGCTGGGTGGTGTACATCAAACACTCATATATGTTTTGTTTGGAGGCAAGAGAAGAGGTTTTATTGGGAGGCACATGACTCCCTTTTTGGTAGCAATATTACAGGAATATATTGGAGGCCCATGGCCCCTGTTATTTTTTTTATTTTTTATTTTGCATACTTTCTTGGTTTGGAGTCTTATAGCTCCTAATGCTTATTTGAGAAATACTGGATGATTTGATGTTGCTTTCCTTTTCTATAAAGGGATGATGAATGGTACTTTATTTTGCAATGGTTGTTGAAGGTTTAGGCTGCTCGTATTGGTCTTCAACATTTTTCGGGCCCCCTCTCTCTCTGCAGCTTATATTATTAGTGGCTTATAAAGACTCCTCTTTTAATGTCTTATCCCCTCAATGTCATTTATTCTACTAACAGAGATGATCTACATGTTCTTAGACAACGACATATTACTATTTTGTTTCTCCTCCAAGACTGTTATTTTGTCACAATTTTGCGCTCAAATTGGAAGATTGTGCAGTTTCAGGATAATTGGACTTACGGATTACATAGTTCCGTTTTGCACTTTCTCTACAAGTTCATTTTTGGAATACTACTTTTGATTGACATATCTTTTTGAGTTACATGTAATTTTCGAAGTGATAGTTTGTTCTACGTTCTTTTTTGTGTGGTGTTGTATGTGGACGGAGGAACCCTTAGGTTTCAATGTATCTTTTTGCTTTTTAGTAGGGATCATCCTTCCCTCCTAAATTTGTACTATCTCTATTATCATTAACGTGTAAGGAGCCACGAAGACGAGTGTTGCTCTCTCTATATATATATATATATATATATATAATATGTTTTACACGTATACATTGAAACAGCGTACCTAATAATTTTCGTCCCCTGTCTGTTTGCGCCCCCATGCCCGAATCCTTTGCCTCCGTTTTGAAGCATTCAGCATTGTATAGCTCTCTCTCTCTCTCTCTCTGTATATATATATATAAATATCACAGTCTCCGATTTGGAAATTCTCTCTGATCAATGAGGCCTCCTGGTACACCACCAATCAGCGAGAGAGAAAGGCAGCCAAGAACGCGCAGACGGTGGAGCTCCGAGGAGGATGAAGTCCTCCGCAAGTACGTAGCAGAGCATGGCAAAGAAGATTGGCACGGCGCGGAGAAGCTTCTTAAACGTTCCGGAAGGGGCTGCTTTGAACGGTGGAGGTATGGTCTCCGGTCTACAGTCGCCGAACACCCTTTAACCGATGAGGAGAAAACCATATTATGGCAGCTTTACCAGAGGTTCGGTGACAGTTGGTGTGCTATAAGAAGATGTGTGAGTTTTTTGTTTTTTTTAATTTGGAACAAATATTATCTATCATTTATCATCTAATATGTCTGTTTTTTGGTTTAGGGTTTGTTTTCTACTAAGTTATTATTTTGATGATTTTTTGATTGATTGTAGATACGGCGTGATAATCGCTTTTCTGCAATGAGATCGGAGTTTGACATAAAGAATTATATCGAGCAAGTATTGTTAGAGCGAGCGCAGGATCCAAATCGTAATCCAAATGATGTTAATGATAATGGTGAGCTCATTCCTATCTTTTTTTAGTATGTTCTTTTCTTCCTTATGTTCTACATCTCTCTCATGCATAATTCCTTTTTTTTTCACTATGAAATGTAGATGGCAACCTAGAAGCTCCACGGGAGGATATTGATCAAAATAATGAAGAGGCCGGTAGTCATGGCAACTAATCTTTGGATCTCTCATTATCCTTTCGTGTTTCTCCTTTCGTGGCAAGGAACATTGATATTAATGCTTTGGCGCCCTCAAATAGCCGTCTACTTATAATATATCTACATAAATTTTCACTTTTTAAAAAAAAAAATATTGGGACGTGGTGACCACTGAAATATGACACCTTGAATCTCTTCATTTTATTTCTATATAATATTCTTATACATCAGAGCATCGAGTTGTTCTATTTGTTAAAAAATTTTCTATTTTGGTTCTTTGTTTCTTTTTGTTTTTTCATTTTATTTCTTTTTGCATAGAATGCATACGCTTATTCTTTGGGCCTAATTAGAATATACTATCATGGCTACTTCCAGGACTCTCCTGCATACCAAGTTTTGGTCTACAATAAGCCATAGGGAGTGATTGGGATCTGTTTGTGAAGATCCGTCTGGGTGAAGTTTGTGGGGAGGACATGGAATACATCTATCTAGAAAGCCATCGAATTCATTGGCTTCGAAAGGCTTAAGACTTGGGACCTCCATGTGAAATTATTTTCGAAAGTTAAATGGATGTTGATTGTCGCCTCTATGCTATTCATGATAAAGTTGAATTAGGATGGGATCGAAGTACCTCCATATTTGAGTGGATTGACGATAGAATCTGGAGAGAACTGATTTGAAGAGTTTTATGACACCTTGAGGATTAGACTTGTTGGTTTTGTTGGAAAGATGCTCAGACACCTAGATCAAACATTGGTGTGTTGTTAACCTTGATTTTGTCTGAATTTCTACAAGGTATGTTTCAATTGGAAAAAAATATTACGTGCATTTACACGCAAGAACATCCACTGCTGATGTTTATGAAATATATATCAACATGAATCTCGAGGCAATTCAACAGTCAGGACATATGACGACGAACAAAGGAATCGGTTGATCGGTCGACAACGACAGGGCATGAAGAATTCCTAGAAATCAAGCATAAGGATTGAGCCATTAAAAGGTGTGACCATCGACCTAACGCTAACCAGTTGAACCACGACATGATGATCGACTAAAAGCTGATGAGGCGAATCAACGGAAGACGATCGACTACACATCTCGATCGTCGGTGCCCAGTCAAAAGAGCCGACTTGGCATTTAATAGAACTGACACGTGTATCGTACTAAAAGAACCCCCATAGAGACTAAGGATTAGAGATAATACTTGTAATTCTAAAAAATATACCCATACATTTATAAATAGAGTGTCATTCTTTGAATAAATGTTACTTATTTTTTTACTATTAAAGCTTTAAGCCTTAGGTGTGCTTCACATACATTCCTGGATTCAACATTCTTTTAGGTGTGTTGAGCATAAAACCATGTTGTCAACAAGAAGAGAATCACAGGAGTAACAAGAGAAGACTAACTAGAGAGACGTGGTGGAGGTAGGATGCACAAGGGAGTTTGCATAAGAGTTCTTGAAAAGAGAACTACAGGAATTGAGAACCCTGCAAATCACAAATTGGATGTCATAACAGTTTGCAGAGTCCTTACAGTGGTCACAACTCTAGAAGCAGGCATTATTTTGAGAGGAAAACATGTTCAACAGGAACCATTAAATTCTTCTCAAGAGAGAACACCGACGGGCAATAGGAGGAGACCGTCTCATGCCCCAAAGAGAGCTGAAGATTTGTAGTATCAGGACATGTCAGATCAGTCCCAATGGTGAAAAGGAAATGATCTGGGTAAGCTAAAATGTTACGACAACCAGAGATTGCCTTCTTCCTTCAAATCTTGGGATTTGAACCCACAGAGAAATTCAAACTCCTAACTTTAGAATCCTATAAGGTGAGGTCATATCCTAAGAATTACCAAGCACATTTTGAGTAGTCAATGTGCTGCTAAATATCTCTGACAAATTTAATTTTCGATTATTCTTCATTACGTTGAGGTCATCAGTTCTGAGATTGTTCAACATGCTTCCTTTTGGTGTAATTACTTGCTTTGTAGAGTTTATAATACTTTTTCTAGCATAGCTCGCTGGTGCCATAACGCCTAAGAAGAGTGCCCAACCCCTGTGACAACTTAAACAACGACCCAATAAGAGTTTGTGCTAGTTCATTACACAATTTTGGAGAGACATGTTGGAGGTAAAAGACTTGAAATCTGATAATACCTGAGACGCTCTGACACATGGATTGATGTCCTTAAAGCTCCTCTTCAACCTCAACCTTGTGGAACCCAACAGTTTGGTCAAACTACTTGATATGACCAACAAATACATTGGCACTTATGAGAATATTCCAAAGCCTGAGATCTCTAACCAAAGACTCCAGAAGAGACCATAAAAAAATAGCAGGTGGAAACCAAAGGAGAGTACACGACCACCCGTCTCGCCCACGCTACGAAAGTCATTCCCAGTACAACAATGTAGTCGACCGTCATTATCAGAGAGGGCAGACGAAGACCCATAGTCAGGACTGATTCAATATCATGAGAGACTAGTTCATCACCATGAATGAACATAATACAATGTAAAAGGCCTTCAAACCATTTCTTTGAGGGTATTAATGGTGGAAATGATAGACTCCATCCAGTGCAGAGACTTTTTTCAAGAAAGCACCCATAATGAGGGTAATTGACACTACGATGATAAGCTGGAGGATTCAATGGTATTCTCTCTTCAATCCCATACGATATGTGGAGTGGAGATGACGCAACAACCATTCCTGGCTGAAGGCTGTAGTAGCCGCTATAAGTGTCAGCGGCTGAGCAGCAATGGGGTGCGCCGCCCGATCCAAAACCACTGCAGATGCGATGTAAATGAGGATGCAAAGGGAGAAGGATGCTTGCTCAAAGTTTTGTAGGTGGTTCGTGGGGATTGTGAAGTCGGGGTCTAAGGGCTAGTGGCATGGGGGACCGATGAAGAGTTCCATGGCAATGGAGAAAGAGCTACCAATGGCGATGAGGAAGAGTTCCAAGTGGCGGTGTTTGGGGGTTGGGAAACAGGAGGTGGAGCGGAAGGTGTTGGGGTAGAGAGAGAAGAGTTTGATGTTGTTGCATAGGTGTCATAGACTGATTACAAGGACGCCCCAGCAGGGAGCTACATGGCATATTTTACTCCACATGTCACACTTTGTGAATGAGAGAGAGTGAGAGCTTAAGGAGGAATAGGGAGTAAGTGGGGGGGATTTAAGAGCGGGGGAAAGATGGTTTAGATAGTGTTATTATGATTATGATTATTATTATTATTATTATTATTATTATTATTATTATTATTATTATTATTATTATTATTATTATTATTATTATTATTATTATTATTATTATTATTATTATTATTATTATTATTATTATTATTATTATTATTATTATTATTATTATTATTATTATTAGGATTATTGACGTATAATCATGAGTATTTTAAGACTTATATTAAGCTTTTAAATTTTATCTTCCGTTTCAAGACATTTGTTAGGTGAATATGCTCTATCTTATCTTAGGTTGAGTCTAACCAAGAGTTTGATCAGGGGTGTTTGCTTGCCTAGGCATTATCATTTTCTTTAACTGCACAGTTCTTTTCATATAGCTGCAACCACGACATACCCATCCCATTTGGGTAACTGCTGCATCGGCATACCTTTTTCAGACTGCTGCCACCACAACATGCTCATCCCTTTAGGTCACTGCCGCTTCATCATACCCTTTTTGTGCTGCTACCACCACGAAATGCCCATCTCTTTGGGTCACTGCCGCTTCGACATATCCTTGTCGGCACTATTTTTGGTGTGGGGT